AAAAAAAAAAAATAATAAAATAATTTTTTTCTTCTAAAGGAATGGTAATGAAGTGGAAGTTTTATCAGAAGATGAATTAATTCTACGTTCACGTAGAAGCCGAATTGGACAATCTATTGATTCTATATCAACTGATATTCTTCCGACGACTAATACCGTTACTAATTCTCAACTCAATCTTCATATTATTGATTTTAATGATTTACATATAGGAGATACAATTGGTGTAGGTGGTTTTGGGTAAGAATTGTTTTTTTAGAGATTAATGCCCAAAAAAAAACCCTGTACGTTTCTAACTATCATTGAAAATCAATGTAAAACATAGCTACTTCATATGTCAATCGTTATAATTAATTAAAATATAAAAACAATATTAAACTATTTGTTTTTTACATTGTGTTTTTTTAGTCATGTCTTTCATGGTAAATTTGGTGATATTGATGTAGCCATAAAGACAGCAAAATCTTTTGCATCATTTTGTTCAATTCAAACAACAACAACTTATGATGATACATCTGATGCTGTACAAAAAACTCTTATTGATAGTCTTTTACGTGAAGCACGTCTTTTTTCTAATCTTAAACATCGAAATATAATTCAATTATTTGGTGTTAGTCCATCATTATCAACAAAAAATCTTTATCTTGTTATGGAATATGCACATGGTGGTGCATTAAATTATCTTTTACGACAACGTCAATCAGGTCTTTATCCAAATGTATTTATACAATATGCTAAACAAATAGCTGATGGTATGAAATATTTACATGAAGAAGCATGTGAACATATAATTCATCGTGATTTAAAATGTTCAAATAGTAAATTAAATGAAAAGAAATAATTATTTATTATTATTATTTTTTTGTTTTTGTTTAGTTCTTATCCTAGAACATATTAATGATGTTCACGATGATAGTGATCTTTTACAAAAAACATTAAAAATAACAGATTTTGGACTTGCTAGAAAACAATTACAAACATCAAGTGTATCAACTGCTGGAACATTTGCTTGGATGAGTCCAGAATGTATACGTAATACTGAATTTTCAACAAAATCAGATGTTTGGAGGTGAAATTTTGAAAAGAAATATTTATTTTTATTAGTATTTTTTATTTTAATGATAACTTGAT